TGCCCAGGGCACTGCCCCGTGGCTCTCTGATGAAGGCGGAGGCAGCGCCCTGGCTCCGGCCGAGGGCCTCTGCCCAGCACTGGAGGCGCCATCCTGTGGGTGGCTCCGGGGGCACCGAGGCTCCTGGGACTCAGCCTCGTGTCCGGCAGCACTTCGCTCCGGGAGGGGCCTCGTGAGCCTGCTGGTCCCCGTGCGGGGGTGAGGGGAGCTCCGGGACCCACTCCAGTCTGGCCGTGGGGGGGGGGGGGCTCCTGCCCCAGAGAGAAGCTTCCAGAAGCCCCCTCATCCCTCCCGGCCCATGTCCTCCCCTCCGCCCCCCCAGCCTTCTTAGAAATGAAGTCATCTAGAAAAATAGTCAAAATAGAAAGAAAAAAAGCTAAGAAAAGGGGATTTTTTTCCTTTTGAACATTTGGCAAAACACCTCCCACACGAGGAGTGTCCGCGGCTCCGGCTCCGGCTCAGCTCCGGCTCCGGCTGGGCCCGGCCCGGAGCGCTGAGCGCGGGGCCCGCGGCCGCCCTGGCCCGGGAAGGCCGCCCGGGGTGCCCGCGGCAGGGGCAGGGCCCGCTCGGTGACCGGCTCCTGAGTGCCGCCCTGCGCTGCCCGCACGCCCGCCAGCTCGCCGGCTCATTCACAGTCGGCGCTCGGAGCTTCCAGGAAGCTCCCGGCTCTCGCTGAAAAGCCGCCTCCGAAGCCGAGCCCCGAGTTCCCGGCGCCTTCGGCCAAGCCCGGCGTCCCGCTGGCTCCCGAGTTCCCACGTCAGCCTGGCTCTCTGGCCCCGGGCAGCCGTTCCTCCGCGACCTGCCCCTGCCCCGTCCGGGCGATGGCTGGGGACCTGAGGCCGGTGCCTTCTCCCTGCGGCACGCCGGAGCCACGGGGACCTGTGCGCCCGCCTGCCCGGCCCTCCTGCCCGGCCGCCGTCCGTCCGCACCAGACACGCACACGCACGGCACCGGCCGGCCCTGTTCCCGCCCCCCGGGCCCTCTCCTGGAGCGGGCGGTGCGCCTGTGGCTGAGGGGCGGGACGGTGACGGTGATGGGGAAGGGCCCCTCTCCTGGAGTGACGCGGCCCGAGGCGCGTGGGGCCAGGTCTCATGGTGCCCGTGGGCGGGGCAGGTCCCCGGGGCGCTCCAGGCCTCACCACGGCATCAGCAGCTCTGGCCTCCCTCCCTCCCTCAGCCTGAGCGGGCACCGCCTGGCACGGAGCCTGGCAAGGCAGGGCCCTGGGGTCGCCCGGGGGAAGCCTCCGTGGCCAGGGCCATGCCAGGCGGCCCTGCAGGGACGGCTGCCACTTGGCAGGCCCGGGGGAGCGGCCTTTGCCTGGTCGGGGCTCCCTGCTCTGAGCCCCAGGGGCCACGGATGCCCTCAGCACAGATGCCCAGGCCAGGACCAGGTTCCCGGCCAGGACAGTGCAGCCTCCGCTGCGGACACGCCAGGGATCTCGGACCCGGACCCCGAAGCCCAGACCCTGGACCTCGGACCCAGACCCTGGACCCTGGACTGGCAGCCATGTCCAGGCCCGAGGAAGCCCAGCCCCTCCCCGCCCCGCTGCCGGGGGAAGCAGGGGTGCTGATCTGAGAGCTCCCGTCCCTCCGTCTGCGCCGGCAGCCTGGGCTTCTTGGAGAGCAGACTGCAGAGCCGGCCGAGCCAGAGCAGAGAGCCGGGGTCCGGGGGGCCACCCGCCAGCCCCGGTGCGGACAGTGCGGCCGGCAGCGGCCGGCTCCCGGAGACTGCTCCCACAGTGCCAGGGCATGGAGTCGCCCACAGACCGCTCCCTGACGTGACACCACGGGAGCCGGGGCCTGGCCTCCGGGCCCTGGAGCTGCCACACCAGCTCCCAGAGGCGGCGCTGCAGCCCACGCCCCAGGCCCAACCCCGGCGCTCCCCGGCCCGCCCGTCTCCACGCCGCCCGGCTCCGGGCCATGCTGAGCCCCGGGCGGCCGGGGCAGCACAGGGCGGCGGCCAGGCCCCGAGAGGGTGTGCAGGAGGGCCTCGGCGCCTCCCGGAACCCAGTGTGCATGTCCACGTGTGAGTGCGCGTGTGCTGCACACGGGGAGGGGGATGTGAGTGTGCAGGTGCACGTGAGTGCGTGTTTGTGTGCGCGTGTGCTGCACACGGGGAGGAGGATTGAGTGTGCGAGCCGGGGGTGGGAGGCCCGTCCCTGTGCCTCTCCCTGTCCCACGTCCCAGTGCCCGGGGGCGGGCGGGCGGGCGGGCGGCAGGAAGACAGTCCAGGGACACGCGCTTCCTTCACTCTTTACTGTGTAAAAATAAACTCACAACTCACGTCTCAGCAGAAAACGAGAGAAAGCGGGAGACCAGCGGAGACTGCTTCCGGGGCGCGGCCCGGGGTGCAGCGGGCGAGTCCGGCTTTGGTTGGCGATGATGAAAACGGGGCACACCGATCCCTCCCTGACGGGCACGCACACGGCAGCACCCGCGGGCGCCGTGCGGGGCTTGGTTTTGGCAAATCGGACAACAGTGGGTGAGTCCTGGGGCCCTCCTCACCGCCCGGCGGCACTCGGCCCACGGACAGCCACGCACACGGACACGCAACGAAGGGGGGGGGAGAGGACACGGCACGCCCCGCCTGGAGCCACGGCCCGGCTGCCGCGAGGTCACACGGGATTCCATCCCCTTCCCGTGGACACCTCACAGCCCTCGCTCCTCAGCTCAGGCCCAGACAGGTCCACGGCGAGACCCAGGCCTGGCGCTCCGGCCACTCACACCCCGTCCCCCGAGCTCGCCGGGGGCCACAAACCTCGCGCAGCCTCTCCTCTCCCCTCGCTGCCAGGAGACGCCGTGGCCCCGGGCCGGTGGCAGGGACCTCTGCCGTCGGGAAGGAAGGGGCACACGGAGCGTCTTGGGTGCGAGCCCCCGGCCGGGCCTGGGGGGTGGCGGGGAAGATAGTTTGAGTGGTTCTGTAGTTTGTCCTTTTCTTTCATAAAAATACTCTTGTTTTGGTAATAAACTTTGTCTTCTACAGTAAGAGAAAGAACACCGCGTTATCAAAAGCAAGAAGGCTTACGATTCCAGTGGGATCTCAGGCCGCCCGGGCGGGCGCGGCGCCCACAGTGTGTGATCTCGGGTAGAAATGGCTTACCTGAGGAGGCGTGGTGTCAGTGCGGGGGCGGCGGTCAGACCCGCGGCCGCCGGGCCGCGCGCCACGTGTTAACACAGTGAGGGCGTCCAGGGCCGTGGCAGGGCTGGGGGGGGGGGCGGGAGCTCCATGTCGGTTTGGGGCCCTGGCACCCGGGGGCGCCGGGGGGCGGGGTGGACACAGCGTGGTGTCCGGATGCTCTGCCCATCGGGTTAGGGCAGAGAATGGCTTGTGGTCCTGAACGGACAGCTCCCAGCGCCCACTGGGCAGGTGGTCTGGGGTCTGGGGTCCCGGGCCTGGGGGGCGGGTGGGGCGCTGCCGAGAGCACCGCACTGGGCCTGGCCCCGTGCTGCCACCGGGGGCTGGGGGGCGGCCTGGCCTAGGGGGCTTCCAAGCTCACGCTCTCTCCCGGGTGCTCTAGCCTGTTCTCTCTACACGGCTCGGTGTGGGGGAGGGGAGGGGACCCCCGTGCCCTCGCTTGCTTTCCCAGCGTTTTCGTAGCTACATGGATGGTCACGGACAATGGGTGGCACTCGGCACAGAACACAGGACCGGAGAAGTCCATGCAGGCAGGGGACCACGGGGGACGGAGGGAGCCGGGGACGCCACCCCGAGGGACATGCAAGCAGGAGGCCCCGCAGACCGACGCCGAGGCCTACGGCCCGGACGAAGCACGTGGTCAGAAGCCACTGCTGGCCACGGCAGCCTGGCACGCCCCCCGCACGAGCGCGATGCATTGTGGGCTGGCAGTGGACACCGTGCAGACGCCCACGGACACGGACACAGACACCAACAAGACACACGGGTGCACTGGGTTCCACACAGTATGGGCCTGCGTTCAGGGGGCAGGCGCCCCGGGGGACGGGACGGGGGACCCTGCCGCTGCGGGAGGGAGTCCTGCGCTGCAGGGGCAGGGGGCAGGGGCCCGGAAAGACATGCCAGCCATTTGCTGTGTTGAGTCCAGGTGCCCTCGGGGCATGCGACCCCCAGATGCTGCACAAAAGCAGGGGCTCACCCCAGGCACAGTCACTTAGTGCGAACACACGCACACACACACACGCACACACACACGCGCACACGCCTCCCCGCCTTGGAAGGACCAGAAGGAATGTGCAGGATGGCTTTTCACGGGGAGCAAACACGTCACAGCTTCTGAACAGGGTGGGTCTCAGCGTCACAGCTGGGACGGACCTGCACAGGGGAGTGGGTTCGGGGCCGGCCATGTCTGCCTCCCCCCCAGAGCCGCTCCTGGGGCCCCAGCGGGAAGCGGGATATGGCTGTGGGTGTGCAGGGCCACCGGCGCCTGGCCCTGCATGGCTGCTCCTAACCAGGTGGGGCTTCCCTCCCCAGCCGCCCCGGGCTCTGCCCGTCTGTGAGCGGGGGGCGGGGGGGCGCGGGCAGCACCCTCAAGGGGCCGCAGGGGCAGGGCGCTGGCGGCTGGAGCCAGGCTCTGGGGGGGTGAGGAGGGCAAGGCCGAGAGCCCGCCCCCAGGGTGTCCCGGGACGTGGGGGAGGGGCTGCGGCCCCCACCTCCTCTGCCCCCAGCAGCTGGGGCTCCCGGACCCCGCCTTTACCGCGCTGAGCACTCCGCCCGGGAGACAGCCCCGGACGAGCTCGCCAACGAGACAAACACGTGCGGCGGCGCCACGAAGCAGAAATGAAACACCTCGTCTGAGAGGAGGCTCCCCGGAGACACGCACTCACACGCACGCACACGCACTCACACACACGCACACGCAGCCTCACCTACGCCTGCGGGGCTAAGTGTCGCTGCGTCACGTGCACGAGGACCCGGCGAGGCGGCGTGTGGGGTGTGCGTGTGTGTGCACGTGTGTGCATGCGTGTGTGCACGCGAGGGCAATGGCCGGAGCATTGGGGGGGGGCACAGCAGGGGGCCGGCGGGGCTCAGTTGAGCTGGCGACAGGCCTCGAAGGTCCACTTGGTGGCGCCGCCATAGATGTCGATCTGCGCCTCGGCCCAGGCGATGACGTTGCCGGCCAGGGCCTTGGGGCTGCAGGTGGCCAGGTTGTGCACCTCGCCCGGCGTCAGCTTGCGGTCCCAGATGTTGAAGTGGGCCAGCTCGCCCACGAACGCCTGGGTGGCATCGAACCCGCCGCCCAGCGTGTCCTTCGGGGGAAAGGGGGGGGGGGGATGGGGTGGAGGCTGGGGAGGGGCTCCCCCTCCGGGGCTCTCACGCCCCCCCGTCCGGCCTCTGGGACTGCACACTGCCCCCCACAGGGAGCCGGGGAAAGGGGTGCTGCTGGCCAAGGGCCCGCCTCTCCCGCTGCCATAACCCAGCGGGGGGGGGGGGGGGGGGGGCGGCGGGGAGCCTGGTCTCCCTGAACCCCCACGTTCCCCCTTCCCGTCCAGGGACCGGGAGGCCCCTTTGCCGGCCCATCACCCACAGGAACCCGCGGCGCCCAAGGACACGCTCCCCAGACGCGAAGGCAGGAGGGGCCTTCCCCGCCGGGTGTGCGGCCACCGCGCCCAGCCCGCCCGCATCTCCCCGTCAGCCCCCGAACTGCGGCCGACTCGCCCCCTGGTCTGCGCACCTGCTCCTGGCCCAGCACCAGCACGCCCTGCGGCTTGATGGGGTGATAGGGCGCCAGGTTCTCGCCGCTGCCGGCCTGGGTGCCGTCCTGGAAGGCCTCCCAGACGCCGTCCCGGGTGGTCCAGGTGACACAGAGGTGGTGCCACTTCCCGTCGTTGATGGCGAAGGGCAGCTTGGCCACCTGGGACGGGAGGGCGCCGGTCACGGCTCAGGTCGGTGACCGCTCCGGCGCGCCTCATGGCGAGTCCCGGCACCACGGCCGGCTCTGCGCCCGCTGGCCCGTGCGTGGGGCCGAGGCCTGGCAGAGGGACTGGACCCATCAGTCTCCTCACCCCCCCTTAGCCTACACACCAGGCCCTGAGAGAGCCCCCCATCACTCCACCCGCCAGCCCTCTGGTCTGCACCCGCCCAGCCTGGCAGCTCCCCCTGGGGGTCACTCCCCCTGGGTGTATGCACCGCAGACCCACGGGGAGATGGGGCCCAGAGAGGCAAGGCCCCGAGGGCTGGGCATCCGATCTCCAGCCTGGACTTCAGACCGTCGCCACCCAGAGGGCCCGGGCTAAGCAGATGGGTTTGGGCTCAGGAAGAATTTCTAGGGGCACCCCCCCCCCCCCAGCACCGATGCTCCCCAAGTGGGAGGTGGAGCCAGGACTGATCCTGGGGAGGAGCCCATCTCCCTCGCAATCTGTCTGGGGGGCTCCCGCTTCACCCGCTCATGGAGTCAGGCAAGGGCACCCCTCCCTTCTCTCCTGGGGTGTGTGTGTGTGTGTGTGTGTGTGCCTGTGCCTGCCTGTGTATCTGCATGTATGTCTCTGTGTGTCTGTGTGCCTGTGTGTGTATGTCTGTGTGTGTGTGCCTTCCTGTGTGCCTGCATGTGTGTGTCTCTGTGTGAGCATGTGTCTGTGTGTGTCTGCGTGTGTGTGTCTGTGTGTGTGTTTAGTCCTCACCTAAGGATATTTTTCCATTGAGTTTTTTAGAGAGAGTGGCAAAGGGAGAGACATCAATGTACTGCCTCCTGCATGCACCCCAACCAGGGCCAGAGAACCTGCAACCAAAGCATGTGCCCTTGTCCAGATCGAACCCAGGACCCTTCAGTCCGCAGGCCGACGCTCTATCCACTGAGCCACACCGGCCAGGGTGCTCCTGGTCTCTCCCTCCCCTCCCTCAGCCCTGCCTGCCAGCCCTCCTCCTGTGCTTGAGCCACCCCACGCCACTGAGGACCTGCCCGACGGCCCCCGGGACAGGGCCCCCCGGCCCCCAGGACAGGGTCCCCCCGGCCACTGGGACAGGGCCCCCCGGCCCCCGGGACAGGGCTCCCCCCCGGCCCCCGGGACAGGGCTCCCCCCGGACAGGGTCCCCCGGCCCCCGGGAAAGGGCCCCACGGCCCCCGGGACAGGGGTCCCCGGCCCCCGGGACAGGGTCCCCACGGCCCCCGGGACAGGGCCCCCCGGACAGGGTCCCCCGGCCCCCGGGAAAGGGCCCCACGGCCCCCGGGACAGGGCTCCCCGGCCCCCTGGACAGGCCCCGGCCCCGGCCCACCTTGTCGTTGATGAGGATCTCCATGGGGTTGTTGCCCCACTCGATGAGGACCAGCTCGTTGGCCTGGCCGGGCACGGCGTAGGAGAAGGGCGTGCCCACGCCGGGCGCGGCGCTGGACTTGAGCCACATGCACACGGTGAAGGCGTACATCTCGGGCAGGCTGCGCTTGGCCTTGGCGTACATGTAGTTGGTGCGCAGCGGGAACGTGAGCTGGAACTTGTCCCCCGGGCGGCTGTCCTTCTGGCCTGCGGAGGGCGGGGCGGTCTGAGGCCCCTGCCAGAGCCGCCCTCCGCCTGCCCGCCAGGCGCTGAGGGAGGCCGGGCCGGCGGGGGCAGGTGCTGAGCCGGGAGCAGGGGGGTGGGGGGAGCCTGAGCCGGGAGCAGGGGGCTGGGGAGGAGGGAGTCACCTCCAAGGTGTGGCCCCGAGGAAGGACGTATCTTTCACCCGAATGCAGGCTGCTGGCTGCTGAGCTCAAACGCCTTCCCCCGGGTCCCCACCCAGCAGCCAGGCCCTCCGGGCGGGCACATGCCCTCCGGGTGGCACGCTGCTGCTCCACACTCCTGGCTCTGACCCACTAGCCCTGAGGACCGGCTATTCCAGAACCCCCTTCACCACCACCACCCGGAGGGAGGGCGCTCCCAGGCCCCCAGCAGCTGCCGGAGCCCCGCTGAGAGCCCGCAGGGAGCGGGGCCTGTGGCCGGGCCGAGGTCAGGGCTCGGAGGCCTCGCCCTCACCCACCCTGGGGCGACTCCTGTGCCTCCGGCAAACTCGGGCGCCGCTGCCCCTCACCTCGGCCACCTGCGCCCGCCTGTGAGGACATCTCCAGGGAACGCACCGCCCCCTCCCGCCCATGCAGCACCACCCAGCAGCGGGCAGGGGCCGGGCCCACGGCTGGAGGGGCCTGGCCTGTAGGGACCCAGCACTCAGCCGGCACCAGGCCAGGATTGTTTCTGGAAGGCAGCCTGAGCTGGTGCCAGGGACCAGGCAGGTCCGGCTCCTCGGTGCTGCCCACACGGTCACGGGCCCAGTCGCCTGCCGTGGGGGCCTCTGGGGGGTGGGGTGGGGGTGGGGGTTGTTTTCATGCCCCCGCCCCCCCCTCCGAGCTGCTTTCAGTTACGTAAGGGGCCTTAAGATGGCACTGTCTAAGCCATCGCACACTTTGCAGTCGGAGCGGGTCACGTGGCTCGGCTCGGAGCCCAGGCCCCCCCTTACAACCGTGTTTGATTGCTGCGCCTTCAAGGCTGAGTCGCCAGGCTCATCGCGGCCACGGTGCCATGGGCCCCATCAGGGCGGGAGCTGCAGGGGTGCAGGCTGCCAGGGAGGGAAGGGAAGGGCAGGAGGGCTGGGAGGAGACCTGTTCGGGTCTGTGGGGACGGGGAAGACCAGGCCTGGCCCCCAGCAGCGGGGAGGGAGGATGGGGGGACCCACAGCCAGGCTTCCTATCCGGGAGGGCCTGGCTGCCCAGGCCACAGGGTGAAGTTACTGAAGACTGGACAGATCAGGCTGGGAGGATCCTGCGAGTGTGTGTGTGTGTGTGCGTGCGCGTGTGCGTGTGCGTGTGCGTGTGCGTGTGTGTGTGTGTGTGTGTGTATACGAGGGCAGGAGGCCCCAGGCGGTCCCTTCCCCTCTCACAAGCACAGCCAGAGCTCAGGGCCCAGCCCCCACCCCAGGAACACCCCCCTGGGTGTCCCACGCCCTGCAGGACTGGGGAGGCACTGGGCGGGAGGCGCTGGGGGGCTGGGGAGGCAGTGGGGGGCTGGGGGGACAGTGGGGGGCATTGGGGGGCTGGGGAGGCAGTGGGGGGCAGAGGGGGCTGGGGGGGCAGTGGGGGGCAGTGGGGGGCTGGGAGGCACTGGGGGGACTGGCTTTTCCCGCGGGGCCGCGGGCAGCTACCTTTCTCCAGCTCGCTGATGCGCTGGTGCAGCGAGGTCAGGGCGCTCTCGATCTTGGCCCGCTCCTCCGTGTCGTTCCTGGGGCCGCCCTTGCCCTCCTCCAGCGAGTTCACCCTGGACAGCACCTGCCGCTCCAGGTCGTCGATCTTGCTCTGCAGCAGGTCCCGGAGGCTGTTGGTCTGGCTGGAGGAGTTGAGCCGGCTGTACTGCTGCGGGGCGGGGGCGGGCACAGTTAGGCAGAGCAGCGGGCCGGCGGGCCGGAGCCTGGGGGGCGGCGGGCGCTGGGCGGGGGCCGGCGCGGGCCTGGCGGGCTGGGGAGGCCGGCAGCGGCGCCGCGGGGCGGGGAGGGTGTCCGGCCGGGGCGGGGGCAGGAGGGGGCGGAGGGGGCGGAGGGGCGCGGGCCGGGGGACAGGCACGGACCTCCAGGTTCTCCAGGCGGGTCTTGAGCGCCTGCAAAGTTTGCGCGAGTTGGCCGAGCGCGTCGGCGGCCTGCGCGGCGCGGGCCGGGTCGCCCGGGGCCGGCTTGCCCGCGGCGGGCGGCTTGCGGCCCGGGGCGCCCTGGCTCTCGCAGCGGCCCAGCTTGGCCGTGAGCTCGCGGATGGTGTCCTGCTGGCTGAGGATGGTCTCCTTCTGCTGCAGCACCGTCTCCCGCAGCTGCAGCACGCTGCCCCGCAGCTCCTCCGCGCCGCCCGCCGCCGCGCCGCACATGTCGGCGTCCGCGGGCACCGAGGTGCAGATGAAGCGCGCGGGGCCCTGGGCCAGGCCGCCCAGCGCGCACAGGGCGAGCAGCGCACAGGTGCGCGCGGCGCGGGCGGCCATGGCGGCGGCTGGGCTCTCGGCTGGGGCTCCGCTGGCTCCTCCGGCTCCGCTCCGCGCGGTCCTCCCGGCCCCTCTGCCGCCCGCGCCGCGCGCCGCCCTTTTATGCGCCGGGAGGGGCCGCGCCGACGTCAGCGGGGGCGGAATCCCGCTCCAACGGCGGCCCGGGCCGGGCTGCGGGGGCGCCGCGCGCGCGGGGGCCTCCTCCTCCCGGTCCCCACCGGCGTCACCGCCCCCCCCCCGCCCGCGGTTCCCCGAAAGCTGGGGGGAGTAAAGGGGGAAAGGGGGATAAAGGGGGGAGAGGAAGGAGGGGGAGGAAGGGGGGAGAGGAAGGAGGGGGAGGAAGGGGGAGGAGGGGAGAGGCCAGGCCGCGGCCTCGGACCTCAGCAGGGTCACCTGCGCGAGGCCTCTGCTCTCCCTCGGGACTCGGGTCTCAGTTCTACCTGCTCCGCCGCGCAAACACTTGCGGGGCTGGCCCGGGACAGTGGGGGACAGTGGAGGGACAGGGGGGACAGTGGGGGAACGGGGGACAGTGGGGGGACAGGGGGGACAGTGGGGGGACTGGGAGGACAGGAGGGACAGTGGGGGGATGGGGGACAGTGGAGGGACAGGGGGGACGGGGGGCAGTGGAGGGGGACAATGGGGGCGCTGGGGGCCTGGCCCCAGGGACCCAGACGGGCACCGCGTGCCAGGCGGGGGCGCCCAGAAGGGGCGCGGGCCGCTTCCCGCTCCTTAGGTGTCCATCTGGGTGACGCCCTGCTCGCCCCCCGCCCGGGCTCTGGGGACCCCGAGTCTCCGGAGGGAGCCCGGCGGGCGGGGACTTCCCGGCGGCGGCGGGAGCCGCTCGGTTCCGGGCAGGCGGCTCCGGGGACGCTCGGCCCAGGAGAGGCGGGAGCCCGCTGCCTCCGAGCCCGGCGCGCCCCCCTCCTCCCGGGCCTCCGGCTCTGCGCCCGCTGTCCGCGCACGGGGCTCCGGACCCGCGCTCACCTCCAGCCCCCGGCAGCCCCCCGGCAGCCCCCGCGCAGCCCCCGGCAGCCCCCCGGCAGCCCCCCCGGCAGCCCCCGCGCAGCCCCCCGGCAGCCCCCCGGCAGCCCCCCCTGGCAACCCCCCCCGGCAGCCCCCCAGCAGTCCCCCGGCAGCCCCCCCCTGGCAACCCCCCCCGGCAGCCCCCCCCCGGCAGCCCCCCCGGCAGCCCCCCCCCGGCAGCCCCCCCGGCAGCCCCCCCCCGGCAGCCCCCCCGGCAGCCCCCCCGGCAGCCCCCCGGCAGCCCCCCCCTGGCAACCCCCCCCCCGGCAGCCCCCCAGCAGTCCCCCGGCAGCCCCCCCGGCAGCCCCCCGGCAGCCCCCCGGCAGCCCCCCCCTGGCAACCCCCCCCGGCAGCCCCCCCCCGGCAGCCCCCCCGGCAGCCCCCCCCCGGCAGCCCCCGCGCAGCCCCCGGCAGCCCCCCGGCAGCCCCCCCGGCAGCCCCCCCGGCAGCCCCCCGGCAGCCCCCCCCTGGCAACCCCCCCCCCAGCAGTCCCCCGGCAGCCCCCCCGGCAGCCCCCCGGCAGCCCCCCCGGCAGCCCCCCCGGCAGCCCCCCGGCAGCCCCCCGGCAGCCCCCCGGCAGCCCCCCCCTGGCAACCCCCCCCGGCAGCCCCCCCCCGGCAGCCCCCCCGGCAGCCCCCCCCCGGCAGCCCCCGCGCAGCCCCCGGCAGCCCCCCGGCAGCCCCCCCGGCAGCCCCCCCGGCAGCCCCCCGGCAGCCCCCGGCAGCCCCCCCGGCAGCCCCCCGGCAGCCCCTGGCAGCCCCCCCCCCCCCGGCAGCCCCCCAGCAGCCCCGCGGCAGCCCGGGCTCAGGAGGGGGGAGGCCTCACTCCCCGCTGTCTCCCCTCCGCGCCCCGGGCTCCCGCCTGCGCCCTCCGCTTCGTCCACGTCTCTGCCCGGGCCCCCAGCGCCCCCACCCGCAACCAGAGAAGCCGGGGTCCCCCACAGGGGCCCCCCACACAGGGGCCCCCCCCAGGGACTTTGCGTCCTGGACACCGTGGGTTCACGCCGGAGCGGCGCCCGGGCGCTGGGCGAGGCGGGAGGGGCCGGGGCGTCCGGGCTGCGGGGTCTGGGAGAGAGCCGGCGCCCGAGGGGAGGAGACGGCGTCCAGGGCCCGGACCGCCTCTCCGCCAGGGGGCGCTGCGGGCCAGTGCAGGCGCGGAGGGTCCGGCCTCTCCGCCAGGGGGCGCTGCGGGCCAGTGCAGGCGCAGAGGGTCCGGCCTCTCCACCAGGGGGCGCTGCGGGCCGGTGCAGGCGCGGAGGGTCCGGCCTCTCCGCCAGGGGGCGCTGCGGGCCGGTACAGGCGCAGAGGGTCCGGCCTCTCCACCAGGGGGCGCTGCGGGCCCGTGCAGGCGCGGAGGGTCCGGCCTCTCCGCCAGGGGGCGCTGCGGGCCGGTACAGGCGCAGAGGGTCCGGCCTCTCCACCAGGGGGCGCTGCGGGCCGGTGCAGTCGCGGATGGTCAGACCCACACCCCCACCTTCTCCACTCCTTTCAAGGGGACTCAGGGCCTCGCACGGCCCAAGCCCATCCCGGTGTGTGCGGAGCGACCAGAACCTTCGGGGAGGAGCGCCGCCAGCTCCTGGGCAGAAGGTGGGGTGCAGGGGCCGAGCGGAGCCGCACGGGGGCGGAGGCTGGGATCGGGCCGGGCCTGGGCCTGGGCGGAGGCAGGACCTGTGGTTAAACAGGCGGCGCTGCGTGCGGCACTTACTCTCAGCCAAGCTCCTTCTCTCCAAGTCTGTGATTTACATTTTAACGCGGCTGAGCGAGACCCGCTTCCGTTCCTCGGCAGGCAGCGCGGGGAGGGACCAGCCGGCGGCGGGAGGAGGGGCACCAGGCCGGCGGGGGCCAGGACGCGGAGCCCGTGGAGCGTGTTTGCCCAGCGGCGAGGGTGCAGCCCGCCAGGGAGCAGCCTGAGGCTGCGGCTTGAGGGCTCCTCGCTCCGTGGGTCCCGAGCCGTCCAGCTCCAGGGCTAGGCCAAGTCAGGAGGTGACCTCGCCCCGCGGTCGGCAAACTGCGGCTCGCGAGCCGCCTGCGGCTCTTTGGCCCCTTGAGTGTGGCTCTTCCACAGAACACCACGGCCTGGACGCGTCTGTGCTGAAGAAGTGGCGTTAGGAGAAGTTAAGTTTAAACAGTTGGCTCTCCGAAGTTGTCAGTCGTCGTGCTGTTGGTGTTTTGCTCTGAGTTTGCCGACCGCGGCTCTAGAGCTTCCACCTGAGCAGCAAAGAGCTCCCTGCAGGTGGGCAACAGGAGGATGCTGTGAGAACTCAGGGAAACACTGAGAGGGACTGGGAGGACCTGGCAGATGCTGGGGGGACCTGGGAGGACCTGGGAGGAGCTGGGAGATTCTGGGAGGAGCTGGGAGGACCTGGGAGGAACTGGGGGGACCTGGGAGGACCTGGGAGGAGCTGGGAGATTCTGGGAGGAGCTGGGAGGACCTGGAAAGAACTGAGAGGAACTGGGAGATGCTGGGAGGAACTGGGGGGACCTGGGAGGACCTGGCAGATGCTGGCAGATGCTGGGAGGAACTGGGGGGACCTGGGAGGACCTGGGAGGAGCTGGGAGATTCTGGGAGGAGCTGGGAGGACCTGGAAGGAACTGAGAGGAACTGGGAGATGCTGGGAGGAACTGGGGGGACCTGGGAGGACCTGGGAGGAGCTGGGAGGAACTGGGGGGACCTGGGAGGACCTGGGAGGAACTGGGAGATGCTGGGAGGAGCTGGGAGGAACTGGAAGATGCTGGGAGGAACTGGGAGATGCTGGGAGGAGCTGGGAGGAACTGGGAGATGCTGGGAGGAACTGGGAGATGCTGGGAGGAGCTGGGAGATTCTGGGAGGACCTAGGATATGCTGGGAGATGCTGGGAGGACCTGGGAGGAACTGGAAGATGCTGGGAGGAGCTGGGAGATGCTGGGAGGAGCTGGGAGGACCTGGGAGGAGCTGGAAGGAACTGGGGGGACCTGGGAGGACCTGGGAGGAACTGGGAGATGCTGGGAGGAACTGGAAGGACCTGGGAGGAGCTGGGAAATGCTGGGAGGAACTGGGAGATGCTGGGAGGACCTGGGAGGACCTAGGTAGAGTTGGGAGATTCTGGGAGGACCTGGGAGATGCTGGGAGGACCAGGGAGGAGCTGGGAGATGCTGGGAGGACCTGGGAGATGCTGGGAGGACCTGGGAGGACCAGGGAGGAGCTGAGAGGACCTAGGAGGAGCTGGGAGGACCAGGGAGAAGCTGGGAGGAGCTTGGAGGACCTGGGAGATGCTGGGAGGACCAGGGAGGAGCTGGGAGATGCTGGGAGGACCTGGGAGATGCTGGGAGGAGCTGGGAGATGCTGGGAGGACCTGGGAGGAGCTGGGAGGATCTGGGTGGAGCTGGGAGGACCAGGAAGGAGCTGGGAGGACCTGGGAGGACCTGGGAGGACCTGAGAGGATACTAGGAAGGCGTTGGACAGGGACGAGGCCCTCCCCGGGACTCCTTGGGGGGCAAGCCTGGGGGAGCAGGACGCTGAGAGGCCGCAGGGGAAGAGGAGGAGGGGGAGGAGGGGGACGAAGGCAGTGGCAGGAGCGAGGACGGCGCCATGGGCCTGAGACACTGCAGGCATGCACTCGTCGGGGCCTGGGGGCTTGGCGGTGAAGGGTGAGGACCCTCCGGGCGCTGCCCGCCGAGGAGGCGAGGTCCGGAGGGGAGAGACCGGAGTTCCCGCGGGGACAAGCCGCCTGGGACGTGCTTACCCGCAGCCAGGAGGTGAGGGGAGACGAAGCCCCAGTACCGTCCCCAAACCCGCCCTCACCACAGCCTCCCTCAGCGGAGCCGGCGAAGGGCCTGAGGGCCGGGGCGGCTGGGCTGCCGGGAGCCGCCTGGTTCCTCCGGTGGCAGCCGGCTGGGCCCAGAGCCGGGCGCCCCGTCACCTGCGGGGTCCTGGGCGGGAGGTCACCGTGCTCCACAGTCAGCTGGGGGGGCAGTCACCCCAATGTCAGCGTCACCGCG